TGACGGTCCATGCGGGCAGCAGCGTCCTCGGCGCTCTGCCAGGCACAGTTGGGATGGATGCCGAGGTGGCCGAGCTTCTCGCTCCAGCCCCCGGGCGCAGTCCGGTTCCTGCCTCCCTTATAGGAAACCCTCCTTCCTGAACTGCTCCTTCAGGATATCTCTGTACTGGTCGAAGCCGCCCTCGATGCGGGTCACGGTGGCATTCTCGCACACCCACAGCTCCTGGCACACCAGGCGGATGAAGCGCTCATCGTGGGACACCAGAATTAGACCACCCTGCCAACACACAAGGGGGGAAGAAGAGGGAACTCAGTGGAGCACAACCCAGGGCCCGGCACTGGTGGCACGTGAGGAATAATGTAATTAGCTGTCCCTCTCGGAGGGCAAGTGCAGGGCCTGTTACTGGCTCTCCAGGTCTCTGACAAGTGCAAGGAAGGAGATTCCAGGAGGAACCAATGACAGTCAAAAGGTGGCTGGACAAGGCCCCACGCAACATCAATTAAGCTTTTCTCTCACAGGAAAACTGCCCCAACTATAGAACAGTGAGAACCAGGCTGATGACAGGCTGAGTCTCTGGAGATCAGCCGTAAATTGTGCCTAAGGAAAAGCAGAGAGGCCCCAAGGCAGGGCTGAGCACTGCACTGAGCACGTGAGGAGTCACAGCGTGTAGGCGACTGGCCAAGACAGGGGTGCTCTCCGGTCTGCTGTTGCCTCTCTCAGCCACCGGTAGCCAAAGCCAGCAAGTGAAACAAACCACCAGGATGGACCGCTAAAGCAGAAACGTGACTGACTGTTCCCAACATCTGTTCTGGACTTGAAGCCATCACTGGCATTCGACTGTCCACCTCTGGCTGAGATAGCAAGTAACCCGAGCTGGAGGCTGCAGGAAGCATTAGAAGAACAGGAGATCTCACTGAGGGAGCCCTACCCGGAACTTATTCAGTGCCTTTGCCAGCGCCTCGATGGTCTCCATGTCCAGGTGATTCGTCGGCTCATCCAGGATGTAGAAGTTGGGACTGGAAGAGAAGACAGCTCTGAGCATGCACTGGAACAGGCCCTGGCTGGGTCCACACCCCTTCGCACTGCAGGGACCTCCACCAGGCTGCTGCGTTAGCCATGAAAAGCCACAGCCACCTGCATTTGCCCCAAGACCGGCGTTGCCCAGCTCCGGGGACACCTCTTGTTCCTGTGAGCACAAAGCAGCAGGAAAAAGCCACGTCCCTCCTTCCACCCCACCAGGGTGACAACCTCCCTCCCCACAAAAGTCCCAAGGACAAGGCTTCCATGGGGCAGCGGAAAGTCCCTGGATGCCCACCATCCTCCCGGTGAAGTAGGCTCCAGGGATGGAGCGGTGCAAAAATTAACAGCATCTGGGAGAAAATTACCAGGACATAGTCATCTGGGCAAAGGCCACACGACTCTTCTGACCTCCAGACAGGCTGGCCACAGGACGCACAGCCAGCTCCCCCGAGACGCCGTAGCTCCCCAGGTGATGCCGGTACTCCTCTTCCGTCTTCCCTGCAGGAGCATGTCACAACACAGCTATGGCACACCCGGCGTGACACAGGACCCCTGGCGCCGTGAGCTCAGCGGGCACCGCGGTTGGGCAGCCTGAGCCAGGCCAGCACGGCACGGGGAGGAGGGGGAATTCAGCAGCCACTTCCAGGCAATTCCCTCCCAAGCCGGGGGTTTGCGGGGAAAACCTGACTGATACAATCAGGACAGGGGCTGCGGGGCTGGTGACCGACTCCAAGCGACGCTGCCCCAATTCCCTGTCGCCACCACCTTAGGTAATGTTAAGTAGAGAAGGGAGCGGGAGGTTTTGGCAGCTGGGAAAGGGGGAACTGGTGTTCATTCTGCGCCCAGCAGGAAAACGGGTCATCTGCCCCCAAAACCTGGTCACGGTGGAGCGCCAGCCTGAGGTCTACAGACTGCCTACTGCCCCTGCACAACCAGCTCAGGTTCTCAAGGCTGGTGTCCTCAACTTGTGCTGGATGTGGGGATTTAACCCAGAGCAGGTGGTGTCCCTTAAGGACTGAGGTGACACAGCGCTAGGGCCATGGAACTCATCAGCGCTGCTCCGTGTGCAGCAAAGGAGACCTCAATGGCCCGCATCTCCAAAACTCACCTGGGAACTTTCTTGCCAGCAACTCTACAGCACTGATGTTCAAGTCCAGTTGATCCACATGGTGCTGGCTGAAATAACCGATCTTGAGGTTTCTGCAGAATGAGAAGAGAGACCGGCAGCTGGTACCAGGCCCTGTGACCATGGCGCTCACAGCTGCAGCTACAGGAATGGGGGCACATGCGTGGGTGAGCAGGACCCATCCCCATCACTCGGGTAGC